ATACTTATTGTGTAAAATGACATTAAAGTAACATCAGATAAGGTATTTGATTCTACTTTTTTTTCTATCTGGTTGATACCTAGAATGGATTTTTTCTTTTGTTATGTAACGTCTCCGTTTGTTAATTAACTTTCCGTAACTTCGTTCCGACGAAACTTTAACGACACAAGTCTTTACTTAATTAAACTGGTTTATTCTTTCCGAATATAACTTTACGATACACTTAATTTCAATATTCGCGCTAAAACAAACACTATAACGAACGAACGTTAACGTCAACAATACCCTGTGACTGCAGTTCAATTACTCACTATCTACACACACATTACATTATTCTTCCGTCACGTTGTCACCCTCTTTTATATACCAAACAACCCTATATCTAGTAAATACTAGAGCATTCGCCAAGGTACGGGATAGTTCTAGAAACGTGGCATCACACTAGTCATGTGATTCGCTGACGCAACAGTATATATAGTGTAAACATGAAAAACAATAAAACAACAAAAAGTCCCTGTACTAGTACCGCCTTAAAAAATAAGTTCCAGTACTCAGTACTGGTGAGTACCAACAGAATTTCACCCCTGATTGTATTCTCAAAACTAAATATCAAAGGCAGAACAAAACAATTGACCGATTGTTTGTTTTACAACAAAGCTAAGTTAGATTATCTGCTGTGTCTACTGCGGGGAATCGAGCTCTAGATTTTTAGCACTGTAAGTCGATAGACTTACCACTGTTCCACTTGGGGACCAAAACAAAAGCAAAGCGAAAAATTGTATATAATTTCTCAAGTTCAGTTATTTCTTTTTTTTTTTCTTTTGTTAGGCGTTGTCATTTCAATGGGGATAAATATAATTTAATACGTTTTGAGGAAATAAAAAAAAGGTTGACTTACGTCATCAGACGTTAGTCTTGTGAATAGGTCTAAAAATGTAAATAGGGTGAAGTACGAGTTGTAACTTGTGTTCTGAAAATGGTGCAGAGTTTGTTTGCTCCTCATGTTCAGCGATTTGTAGAAGAGGTGTTAAGGCAGGGAAAGACTGGAGTTTCGTCAGGCAGCTTAAGCATCACAAGTTCTAAAAGTGGGTAAGTTGTAACTTTTATTTTTATCTTAATCTTTTCAAGTTTTTGCGTCGCCAGTTATAATTTACAGGCTAGCCTATTTTGAGCGTAGACTTATAAGTTATCTAGCTTTCAGTTTCAGTTGTTTTGTCTGTGTTTAATTTGGAAAAATACTGTAAAATTTGTAAAGTGTAAATTAACTGCAAATGTAACTAACTTACTGAGTAAATATGTGCGTTACAAAACTTCTAAAGCTCTGTTATAATTATAAAATTATGGGGTGATACATTGCTATATTGTTACTATAGACTAGTCTAGTAATTATATATATTAATGCTATTGCTAAGGTGTGGCATGTAATTTGTAAATGCCATAATCAGCGACACTAGTACTAATAGCACTGTGTCTTTTCACAAGTTACATAACTTAGTTGCACCATATTTAATTTTGATTATTTTTACATTTGACATATGACTCTTGGTTTATGATCTCCATCAATATGACAAACAATGTACAATTTGCAGTAGTTATAAACGGAATTCAACATTTAATATAAATTTTAATTTAATTCATTATTAATTTCATATTTTAATTTAAATACTAAAATTATGTGTTATTTGGAATGAATTAGCAATTTAATACTGCATTAAAAATATTTCTGGATTAATAAGTATAGACTAAGAGGTAAGAAGTGCTATATGATAATACTTTATCAGCAAATCTTGGAAAGAGTTCCATAACTTTCATCTCAGTACAAACAAGTAATGTTTCATTTCACTGTCAGTATAAAATTAAACTATAATTAGTATAAATAGATACTACTGTTTGTCTGCAAGAGTTTGAAACTAGTTCCCCCAAGCCACTGAATATAAAGCTCTGGTCTGGGTCGAATTACTACATATTTTGGAATAGTACAGCTCCACGTATGCTGTTGGTTCAACTATTCAAACACCTGAAACATGGATTAAGGAACACTAAGAAGAAGAATGTTTAACATGCTGTCATCTATACAACAGCATGCATGGAATTGTATTATTCCTGTTCACAGCAACCAGTTTTCAATCATTGGCTCAGAGCTGAATGTAAACCAAACTTCAGTACCATTAAGACAGAAAATGAGAGTTAAAAAATGCATTCTATATATTGTATGAAAATGATTCAACAGACTATTAAACCAAAGCATAACTAATGAAACCACCAATAACTTAGGATGATCATACATTTTATCACATAGGTAATAAAAACAAATTGATAAACATTTAGTTTGAACTAACAGCACCTCGTATGTCATGAAGTAAATCATGTCACAAGCTTATGAAGAAAGGACTAGATGACAGAAAGCCAACTGTCAGGAACTTACGTTTTAGTAGTATATATAGTAATGTAAATATATGGGTGTGTTGGGCTAAGGATTCTTCTACAGTAAGTGTCTGTGACTTGTTGGCAATAAATTTGACAATATATGAACAGGACACACTCCACTTGTTTTTATAATAATATATATATATTCAAAACAAGTTAAATGTAT